ATTAAACACGAATAATCTTAAACTCATTAAGACGTTATTTCCAATAGTCCATTATATTTTTATCTATTTTTGGTTCTTTTTAAACAGATAATATTGCATTATAATTCTAAACTTGATGAAAATATCGGTTATTCTTAGAAGTATTCATGTTTATTTAAAGGCCGTTGAGAGATGAATCAGGAAAGGTAAAAAGTAGTTTTGATACTGATACAATTTATGTTCGATAAATAAATACCGATTTTGTCTAAATTTTGATAAACTAGAAAATTATTTTTATAATTAAAATTGTCATTTAATTTTCAAAATAAATTTATTCCTAACGACCAATCGATTGCAATTGCATCCACATTGATACGCCTTTTCCGCGGTGTAGATTTCAAATGGCAGTTTGTCACGTTAATCCGTACAAGGTCACCAAGCACCTTCTCGGATGACGCACTGCTCGGTACCAAGACGAAAAACGCGCCTTCAATGGCTAATTATAATACACACGTGTATAGGCGTACAAACCTGCCCATACATACATTATAGTATAATAATCGAGTGTCACCGAGTAAGTGATAAGGTTATGATAAGAACCACGCACTACTGTTAGCCTTGTCTCGCTCCTCTCTCCTCCCCTCTCCTCCCCACTGTTGATTTTTCCTCTTTCTCATGTTCTTCATAGTCGCGCGCCGCGAGCTCTGGATCGGATATCCGTGTGCAGACTTATGAATCTACGTGCATGTGCGCGGATGTAGTGTGCATATCATTTGTGTTTACGTAAACTTAAACGCGGCCTCAAACGTTTTTAGCGGTGGTGGTCAGCTCTTTCGAGATATTAATGATGGAATGTACAATTGGATATCAAGTGGAAGTTTCAAAGGATGAAAATGTGCTCTGTCGATGTTATTGAGTGAGAGAAATTTATAGCTTTGAAAAAAAGCTTTGATTTTAAATTAATGGTTTACGGACATATACACAAAATGTTATAATTAATTAAAAAAAAAAAAATCATATAATTAAAAATACGAACGATTGATAGGTGTGCCGTAGTATATGCATTTGTGATCAAATACTAATCAACTAGAAACAAATTAGCGCATTAATTTCTTATATTTCAAAATATATAACAGCAAATTCTCATGTTCTAAAATATTTTGATAAAACTTTTTAATTGAAGTTGCTCGTAAACCAAAACAATCTATATCCATGTCCAAATTGTTGAATTGTAATATAAACTTATATAATTTTTTATTGTGTGCTAAATTAACGTACGCAAGAAACATTAAATAGTTAAAGAAGTCGTTACATTTTTAAATTAACGATAATTATTAATTACGGTGTGTAATATGTTTTTCATTAGATGAAGTAAAATATATATGTTTGAACAGCCAGGGTGTTTATCTTTTTTTTCAATATATATTTTTTAAAGATAAATTCATATTTCCATTGCGAAATCCCCGATTTTAAATATGAAAACGTACAGAAGCCAATTTTATTATACTAAAAAATAATATATTATATCCTAATATTAAAATTAAAATTTTCGTAACTATAATTATAATTAACCTACTCATATAATTACGAGATATAGAAGTCGCTTATTATTACATTATGCGTGAATAGAATTATATTGTTAAATTACCGTGTAATTTCAGAATTATTATTTTATACTATTTTTATTCACACTGATGAATTTACATAGTTTAATAATACAGAATAAAAAATGTAATATTTACATACTATAATACAAATGTTGTTAGTAAATGAATTATATCAGTTGAAAATTTTACTCTCTCGATTGACGTATAGTTTTTAATATACTTTAACCAACATTATAAAACTTTAAAAGAAAAACAAATCGATTGTTTTGTACTTATTTTTTGACTCTTAACTATAATAATAAATTTCAACCGATAAATTTAGTATTGTCATGAAAATATATGATAATCCAATATTTATCTTTCAACTATGCTTAACTGATAAGCGACACGATAATGATTTTATAAAAACTAAGTTTTTAATTGTATTTCGGCTCATGAAGGTTTATTTTCATTAATGTACAATAGTACGATGATACGAAAGTATCTAAAATACATTATAGTGCATATAAGTAACTTTCTCTAGCCAATAATGGAACCGAATGCCTTCAAAGCTTATTTTTAATACACTTTCAATCATTAGATTTTATATATTCTCATTACATAGTTCGTATTAATGTACTTGATTTCAATGGAATACGCAATTTTCATTTAAAATAGATAAATTTGGTTTACAATCTAAAAGTATTTGAAAGCCCAAATGGATTGACAAGATAATATTATGTAATGTCGTATTTAATAAATCATTCATATATCTAAATTGACATAATAATTCTAATATATAATTTTACATCGATTCAAATGCAAATCATACTTGTACATCTACTAAACATAAAATATATATTCCAATAATTCTTTACAATAAAAAAACTTGGAAATGAACTTTCTTATGTTAGTGGAACAAAGTGGTAATTCAATAAATGATATTATTTATTTGATAAAGAAAGGTAATAGAAAGTATTATAAACTGAAATAAGATTAAGAGGAATTATATGTGAAAAATCAAAACATGTTTGGACTTCTAACGAAAGCCTTTCAGAATACTAGAAGTACTTTGAATATATATATATATATATAGATATGTACCATAGTACTTTCTACATCACAAAACACTGACTTCTTTGTGAAACATTATCTTGTCTTGTTCGAATGAGAATTGCTTTTCTACTCTTTAAACGAACTGTTTTCCTCATACGCACAGACTTATAATAAAGATGCATAATATACACTTAAAATTTTTATCACTTCACTTTGTATTGTTGCAACATGTGTTCAGACTGCTCTTGCTCTATTTAATTATAGGGGATAGCGACCGTTGACTAAAGCCGCCATTATATTTTTATATTTGTTCTCCTCTCTACATTTCAATAGCTATTATTTTAAAATAATTTTGTTGCACAAAATACAGTTGTTGGAAATTAAGGTAAAATACCATCACATCTATCTAGTGGATATATTTTTCATTTTCGAAGTCTTATATAGTAGCAGCATTTTAGAGTGCTATTCATATGCTACAAAATTAAAACTAAAAAATACAAATCAATAGTTAGTAAATTCAATTGATAAAAAAAAGTTAGTGCAGAGAAATAATTCAAGTATTTTTCAATTAAACCCAATAGTCAAACGAGCTTTTTATTTCACTCTTATTCCGGAAAAATGCTTGATATATCGGTGTGCGTGAGTGGAAATCTCATCAAATTATGGAAAAACCACGTTTCCGCATTACTCGGAAATCTAATGATACATAATTGCACGATGCAGCTTTCTTCCGAAGATTTGACTTAGCATACACGCGCGAGATATAATTTATAATTCTTAAGTTTCTAATCATTAACACGAGCATTGAGGAACCATTAATATTTATTTAATAAAAATTTAACAATGATTTAAACGTATACATATTTTTGTTTCAATTGTTTTAATGTTGCTATTTTAGTAATTGTGTCTTTTACTATTAATAATTTTTAATAACTAATTAGTTAAGGTAAATATTATAATATCTTTAGATTATAATCATTAGATTCAAAAAACATTTTGTATACAACATATATGTATCATATAAAAGTAAATTTCTGAATTACTGTATATAGATATATGAACAAGGTATTCAAAAACATTAGCTACTTGGGTATATAGATTTGATGAAAAATTATTTTTTTTCGTTATGTAATATGAGTCTGATAAAAAAAGTTGAGCACAACTTGAATATAAAAAAAAAGAGAAGGGTTTGTAAACAAATATTATAATTATCATACGTTAAGTTACTAACAAAAACTTTTCAAATTCTTGTCTGTTTTTTTTTTCACTTATACATATATAGAAAAAAACCTTTTTTTTAAGTTTTAATATAGCAATGTTATAGTTGTATTATAGCTGTAACGTTCAACCTTTTTCCTTTTTACATATCTAACAATATTTACAAAAATATATTTATAATGAAAGGTACTTTTTGCTTATATTTATTTGATTTTGTATAATCTAAGCAACTCCTATATTTATTTGTAAAAGTACTTACTTTATTAATAAATAATATAAAAAACACTTGCGTTTTTATCAATATAAATTCGTTCTATAAATATATTTTATTTAAGCATACACAACATTATGGTGATGGTCATGGTCTAGCATGAGTATATATATATATATATATAAATTTACACACGCGTGCACCTATTTGCATTTGTATTCACTCAGAAAAGTTCGGTTAGCTCTGAGGTTATATGGTTCCTTTTCTGTTCATAAAATTTTTTCGCGGTCTTATCTTCGGATTTGTATATGGAATTGCAATTTAATAGTTGGAAAGTTGAACTTCGTTTTTTGAAAGTTTTAATTTACTTAAAATTGCAGGCATGAGAGTAGTTGTTTTACATACCAGGATGTGATTTTTGCGGTTATTTTCATTTTGAATTCGAAGTACTGAAATTTATCCTTATGTAACGGCTTAATAACAAACAAATACCATTCTATTGCATGTAATATTTAAATTCTAAGTAAGAATACACGGAAATAAATAATTAATTTTAATTGGTATAAGGGGTGCAAGTACATCCAATTACCGATGTAATTTTCATGGTAAATATTTATTATAAACACGTATATTGTCAAAATAGATATAATATAGATAAGCATTAAATAAAGAAGTTACATAAAATTAAACCAGATAGATAATTTAATATTTTCCTTATTTTGTCAATGAAAAGAATATTTAAGTTATGTTTTCATGAACATTATCATTACACTGTATATAATTTTTTTCCTTGATCGGCATACGTACTCTGCGTGTGTACATATCTTATATAGAATTAAGTTTTTTATGGTATTAAGTACTGATTAAAAAAATTAAATTAACTTTCAATAAATGAGCATAATAAATCATAATAGAACGAATAAATTATATTTTAATCATTTCTGTTACAGAGGAGCTGTCCTGTCAAAGTCCACAGTCCACAACCCTTGAAGGAGTTTGTAGGTCGCTGTCAGACGATGCCATCACGCGTAAAAAAATCTTTTTGCGGTTGCCTTCAGGTTAGAAAATCATTCGCCGTTCTAATAAATAATTTTTTGTAGAGATGTGCCTCTCTATTCATATAAAATAAAATATCGAATTAATTAAACTACAGTCTTCTGAATTTCATTTAAAAAAAAAAGTGTAATATTCATAAATAATTAATAATATCCTTTCGAGGAATTAAAAATAATAAATTATTTTTAATTTTATAAAATATAATCGTAAGGAGATTAGTATTATAGAAGGAAATTTATTTTATAAATTAATATTTATATATAAAATGATGAACATTTTTTTATCAATGGGATTGACATTATTGCATTTAAAATCTACTCTCATTTATAAAGATTTTCATAATAAGATTTGTTTTACAAATAGTTTATTTAATGCCTGTAAAAAATATTATTATTCCAAATCAATTTTCTAGAACTGTTTTTAATGTAAAGAATATAATTAAGTGATATTTATTTCTTTTCAGTACTAATAAATATTTTCACCGTAATCACGTTTTTATCTGAGCCATAATATTATTGTAAATTTTTTATCAATACTTTTCATTCGTTCAATACTCATACGACTGCCTTTATAATAATATTAAAATTTTATAAATAGTATCTTGTAATGAAAGAGACATCATAATAATTTTAATATTTTGCTTATAATATTGTGAAAGTTAATATAATCTCTATTATTTAGAAGTAAATTTCTTCTCAAATTTAATATAATGCATGGATGATGGAAAGTAATATTTTATTCTGAATGTTTTGAATAGCCATTCACAAAATATCCTGCATAGCCGAATTATATATAAATAATCATCATTTATTAAATTCTTGTTGAAATTAGCGTATTTTTTTCTTTAATAATTTTCTTATTACAAATTTGATTTAAATTACAAATAAGAATCTGAGAATATACGAGATATACTTCCTTTGCTGACTCTCCCAAATAGACACATGATATTGTATTTAGAGATCTGAATAAAATTTAATTAGTACGAAACGATACCATTTCACTTGCATAAAGCAACATGTGCAATTTAGTTGAATAAATGGAACGATAACATAAATGAAGGATAAGTTTTTAGTTTCGGCTACGAATGCACCAATCCGATTGCCATCCAAGTAACTCGCATTCAACAAAATAGTAAACTATTTTCTTATTTCATTAAAAAAATCGCATATTACGAAAAGTTACATCAACTTCATTGAAGAAGAAATTTTGAATGCGGTATATGCGGTATACAGTAGATTTTATTATAAGTATTTTAAACTATTTTACTCTTATATATATTATATACTCTTAAATAAATAATGTTTTGTATTTAATCAATAAGAAGGTATCATGATTTCTAATTGCTTAGTGTCTTCAGAATTAAATAGACTTTTTTATATGATGTTTATTATAAATGAACATAATATCGAATTTCGTTATTTAATATAGAATAGTTAATTTGTTTTATCAAATTCATAGCATTGATTTTATATTGTTCATAAAATTTTATTTTCAGTTTTAACTAATTTTAACATAGAATATATATTGATAAATTGAAAGCCTATCAATATAATATTAATTCAAAACATTTTATAAAATTCATTCACTTTTCTAGTAAGATAGTTAGAAAAGATAAAAATATTTTAATTATTATAAGGATAAAAATTAATTTATGAATAATTTTAATATGTTACTCTTAATTTATTATAAAATTAGAAATTTAACTGAATATTCTAATTAAATAAATAAGAATAAAAATTTTTAGTGACGTGCATATTTTTATCTTCAAATTCCTTGGTCATATAAAAATTATACGACTAATATTATTAGATACTATATTTTTTTTTAATTAACATTATATAGTATGCTTATATGGTATATTAAAGGGGTTTCTAGTTTTTCATCTAATTTGATCTAAAAAAAACGTGTTTTAAAAATAAAAATATATATAACTTTATTAAAGTTACATCATATTCATTCGACATTCATTATATTAATCTAGAAATTGCAATACTAAATGCCGCTTATTTTATTATTTGAAAAATTTTGTTTTAAGAAAATAGTTTATTTTGTACTGGATAAATGAATAGCAATTAAAACTGTCGATATTACTTTTAATAGGAGCATATTGTTATTATATTATTATTATCCGTAAATTATATGAAATATATAAAAATACATAAGAAATTTATTACATTACATGTAATCAACAATTTTACTATTTTAATATTAAAAGTTTTCTAATAATTAATTAGTTTCTTTTTATCTTTCCAATTAATAATCAATTCTAATAAATTTGTAATAAATAAAAATAAAATTGTTTCTATTTTAATAAATAATAACATTCAATTCTCCTCCAATTACTATACAATTGTCGGATCAACAATCTTAGATTATTTTTTTCGTTTCTCTTTTTGTTGTAATTTTCACGTTTAATAGAATTTACTAGCTTTAACAAATAAATTTATATTGCCTTTCTGAAAACGTATCATCACCTTCGCATAAGCTTTACACTCTTTTTCAAGCTATACATTATCAAATAAATTATCACAATTATGTTACTAATTAAATTTTACTTCATTTTTAATAAAAATAAAAATGTATAAAATAGATGCATTATTCAGTATAAATGCTTGTTTTTTTTATAATAGAATTTTTAAATAAACAATAATCAAATCATTATTGATTATAAATTTTGCATAAATTAATTTAAATTAATTTATCGTAATTGGAATTTAATCAAGTTGTATAATAATTTTGAAATTGTGTACTTAGTAAAATATCGATCAAATGTGAAATGTAATTATATGAACTTCAATTATTAATTACTAATAGAAATTATAAAACAAAGGCACGATTTAAGATCCATCTAATCCATGTGTAATTTTATGTAATAATTGTATTTACTTTACGGAGCTCAATAAGTCTCAAATAAAATTATAATCTATCGAAATTCCCATCAGTGAAATGTTGAAAAAAAAAATGTCTTTCGTCTTGCACGTCGGTATATTGGTTTTATTATTCATCTGCGTACCAATAATTTACTGTATTTTTAACCGTTCTGCTCCTCTACGATATAAGAATTCTAAGATTTTCGAACGCCGACTAGTAGGAAAGATCCCGAGACGTTATCGACAATGACGTAGACATTCTAGAGATTATTTTCTCTGTTTACAGTTCAAGGTCATGGCGAATAATGAATCGGGAATATTGCAACGTGGATGTCGCGATCAGACGATAAAAACAACTACCTGATTTGTTTTTACGCCTGCTTTAATCTTGAATAGTGCATTGTGACTCGTGGAATACGATAAGGACTATCATGACCTTTATTATTAAGAATTATTAACAGGGTTGACCAGCAAATTATTCTAAAATCTTTCCTTCAAAATAATCTCTGTAGAAGAAAACATATTTAGATCGACTTTTTTCCTGTTGTTTAACCTCTTATCAAATGAAATTGTACATGATCTGATATATAATTTGAAACTCTTCAGCTTAATATAATTTTGTAAACTATTACTAAACACGAAGGTGTTTAGTTCCAACATAATAAAATAATATATCTAAATAAAAATATTTATAGCCGAGCTATCATGCGAATGTAGCATATGATAATAGAATCATAATTGTATTTTTCAAAGGAATTGAAAAACAAATATATATATATATATATAATTCTAAATTTTAGATCCGAGGAACAATAATTTTAATATTGTATGTTAATATATTATATATACGTATTATTCGATTGATTTTAATTTCAATTAATTTAAAGAAATACAATTTTTTAGTATAATCAGAAATTTAATAAAATATGTCCATATATATATATATATATATATATATATATAAACTTTATATTTATAAAATACTTAAAGAAAAGAAAGAATTTCTTTGCGCAAATATATAATATGCAAATGAAATTACTAATTAATCTGAGAAAGATCGAAAAATATATTTCATTTAAGTGTTGTATTTTACGCAATTTAATGTTATATTTCAAATCTTCATATACAAGTGTACAAATATGCGACACTAGAATTTTTATTATTCATTTAGATTAATTGCGAGCTTATTTACAATTTAGCTAAACTTTCTAATTTCATTTAAATAAATAACACGAAATTTTAAAAAATCGTTAGCTAATTATTTAGAATTTTTTAATGATTATAAAAATATGATGTATTAATGTAAAAAACTATAAACTTAAAATATTTAAATTTATTTTATTTTTAAGAAAAGTATATACTGTTTTATCCAATAACTTTTACTTATTTGTCGTATATGAAATTCTAATTTTTAAATAAAAGATACGATAATTTAATAATTCTGAAATAACATGTATTCGCATACGTTTTATTATAGTAGAACATTTTTATCAAATAATAAAATATTTCGTTACCCTCCCTAGTATGATACATAATTAATATCGGCAATTTTTATATTTTTATTTATCTTAATTTGATTCAATTATATTTCATAGTATTAACAATATTTTTGACTTTTGTATTTACATTTCTAAAATGTAAAAATAATTCGTTGTATATTGTTCTTTAAAAGTAAGAAAAAGTATATTAATGATTTTTGTATACCTTAAAATAATATGTAATTTATATTTTAGAGAAGTGATGATAATTGAAAAAGGCAAATCGCGTATGTCGGCAGTAACTGTAGAACGTCATTCTTATTTATTTGTAATTTCTTCATACACAGTTTGTAATTTAATTGTAAAAAGTATATTTGACGAGTTAATATAAATTTATCGAATTCTTCCAATGGCAAATCATTCCCTTAAGAAAAATCTATAAATTGCTAATGTCTAACTCTCTACAATTAAGCAATATATATTGCACAATAATATATGAACGAAAAATTGAAAAACTTTAAATTTATTTATTCATATGCAAATTTATTTAATAATTAAAAGAGATTAATAAGATTGTATAATAACTATATAAATATAAATTTTATTGCATTTAAAAAAAAAAAAAAAGTTTACTTATTAAATCATATAAAAGTA